AGTTTGCACCGAGTTCGGCTAATAGTGCTCTCTATCTAGTTTTTGAAGTTTGAAGCATGTAATTGAGGTACTTTCGCTTTGGCGGCAAAGTTGTGCCGTAAAGGGCCAGCACCTTTGGAATATCAGCACATAATGACTTGCTGCCAGTAGCGCTTGGTGGTCGCAACGGCGGCTCGTTTGTGCTCGCCTCCTCCCCACCGCTCCCTACATCTCGTTCCTTGGCAAAAGCAGTGTATACAGCAGTGTGGGCAGACAAAAGGGGACCGACGAAGAGAAACCAACAAAAATCAGAGACAACAAATCTAAGGAAATTAGAACAAATGCATTTGCCTAATTAAAACAGTTAAATGACATTTTACAAAGCGATTCAAATGCGCAGCCGGGCCTAAACAAATTCGGCCAACACAGCAGGCCATCCGTTGCACTCACACACACACACATACACACGCATGCCGACAATGTTGCACAGCGGGCGCTATCAGCGACGGCGCTGCAGGTTCAGCACCTTTTGTGCGATAGCGGCAACAAGTTGGGAACATCAATCGGAGGCGGTGTCATAATTTTCACAGCAGGTGTCGTTGCTAATGATTTACAGTGAGTGGTGAGGAAGCGGGGGCAGTCAGAGCACATACAAAGTAAGGGAGAAAGACAGAGAAAGAGATAGAGAGAGAGAGAGAGAGAGAGAGAGAGAGAGGGGGAGAGGTAGCAAGTGACAACGGTCAAGAGTGCAACGTTGCACTGTCAGCAGCGTGGCGGCAACAACAATAAAAACGTGAAAAATCTAAATTCGATGTGGCTGAGACTCTTCGGGCTTTGATGTTCAGCCGGCAAGTGCATGATGAGGGTAAAGGGAGTGAGAGAGTGAGAGAGAGAGAGAGAGAGAGAGAGAGAGAGAGAGAGAGGAACTATAGACCCATCATCACCGGGTATCGCCACCAAGGTGCATGATTGTTTTCGAGCAGCGCTATTGTGTTGCCTCTGCTGCTGTTGCAGCACAATGCGCAGCGACACAAATTGGAAAACAATTCATTATTCATATACTCCTATATATGTATGTATACCTATATTTGTATATGTATGTAAGCATGTATATGTGTGTGGATCCTACGCCGCGGCCACAAGTTTGGGGCGTTGCAGTGGCTCGCTGCGCTCATTTAGCGCGACGTCTGGCTGGCGCCAGTGGCGCCCCCTATGGTGCACGCAGGTTTCCAGGGACTGTTTGTTGTTGTTGTTTTTATTATTATTATTGTTATTGTTTCTAGCTGTTACGCTTACTTATCGTATGTTTATCGTATGTTGTGGTCCGCGAAATTGACGCATATTACTGCCAATATTTATGAAGATTTACCAATTTACAAATTTATTTATTCAATTGGACCGCGTCAGGTGCTTAGAGTCTAGAGTTGTTGTTGTTGTCTTGCCATACTTCTGAGAGAAGCTCCTGATAAGAAGTTACCACAATCCGGTATTTAAAGCATCTGGAGAAGAGCATCAACTTGAAAGGGGAACGGGAAATATCATTAATAAGGAGTTCCCTACAGCTACTGTGTTTTTGGAAATATTACCTCCTCTAGTACTATAAACGCTTTTGCTAACTCATTGACGACCTTCCCTTAACTTGGTGCCAAATCATTCTTGATTTGATATTTTATTCCATTACATCGTTTAAGCTTCTGCGGGAGTCGTGTTAATTGGGAATATCTAAAGTACAGCCATTTGACTCTGTCTTCTCTGGCCATGGGATCAGACATACTTATCACTGAAAAGTAACATACTTAACTCTATAAATAAACAAAAATAGAAAAACAATTAATTCGACATATGTACGGATATGTTCCTATATGCTTATAAAGTGCAACAAGAACTCTTTGTGCTTGGTAATTACAAAAAGGGTAGACACTGCCCCATAAAAGGTATAATGCTAATCGATTAATCAAATCAACTTGTGCCTCTACTCGTATTTGCGCTGACCCGAATGGCTGGCTGGCTGGCTGGCTGGCTGACTGACTGAGTGAGTGCTTGATATTATTTTGTATAATTTTCATGCCACGTACAAACACAGATACTCGTACATGCATATAGGGCATGCATGTATGTATGCATGTAAGTAGGTAGGTAGGTAGGTAGGTAGGTAGGCTGTACTCGTAGGAACAAGTTGGCTCACATAAACGCCATTACTCATACGCGCAGTTGCACGACGTCGAAATTGCTCCAATTAAGTTCGGTCAGCGAGCAGAGAGCAACGAGCAACGAGCAACAAGCGAGTAGTTGTCTTCAGAATACTCTATATTCATTGTTCTGCCTCTGCTCACGACTTCGTGCCACTTCGGCGTTGATCTTCTCTGACGGCCTGCAATGTCATTACGAGCCACCAAGGCAGCCAGTCAGCCAGTCAGCCAGGCAGCCAGTCAGGCAGCTAGCCCGCACCTGTCCCATATAGCACAGGAGGAAAGCACCGGGCAGAGTCAATCGCCGCACCCGAAACTCTTTGGCTACTTGTTAATCAGTCAGCTAATCAGAAGAGTGGGGCGTGAGTTGCAGATTAGTAAAGGCAGTAGATGGCAGTCAAATACCGAAAAACCGAAAACAGAAAACCTGAAAACTTAAAAAAAAATCAGCTACGGAAAAATGTGGAAAAATCAAGCGCTACTCGCACAATTGCGGCAAATCACAGTCGACGATGGCGAAGACGACGACTGCAATGCGGAAACAGCTGGCATAGAAAACTGGCCGAGTTGTTGGACTCACTGGCTGGTTGGCTTTTATCGCTTACTGGTGGGCAGTAGGGCGCTACTGCTATTGCCTACTGCCTAGTGCTGATGTTGTTGTTACTGTTACTGTTGCTGTTGCTGTTGCCGTCAAGCGATTGCATGCAATTATTTGCAAATAGCAGCTTCCGCGCAGAGAGCGCGACCATCACATCTTCCTTTTTGGTTTTGCGCTTTTCTGCTTTTCTGCTTTTTGCCTGATTGCCGGTTGCCCTCCCCCCATCAATTTGGCCAAGTTGAATGTTAGACGGTGGCAGGCAGCAGGCAGCAGGCAACGGTAAAAAAAAGAAGAAAACTGAAACGACCAACTGTAAATTGCTGTCGAGCTGCAGTTGCAGTTGCAGTTGAAGTTGCATTTGCACAGAGAAGCTCAGCTCAGTTGGTCTAAACTATTAACTTAATTTTTGGGCAGCCACAACGGGGCAACCACTTGACTTTGATTTCGACTACTGGGCGGGCCGTGCCGAGTCGGACCGCACGATACAATACTTGTATATAGCATAGTACGTGTATAGGAAGGGGGCAGCGGATAGGCATTGGAGGCTGTTATTGGAATAGTTGTTGACTTGCCCGACAACTTTTACTTACTGCCTGCCTGCCAGTTCGGCTACTGCTGGTGTAGGTTTAGGCCGTGTGTTGACAATTTTTGCGGGCACGGGCAAAAGCAACAGCTGTTGGCCATGCAGGCAATCAAAGCGAGAGTCTGGGATAATTTGAAGGCACTCATTCGGGCACGAAATATGTTTGATGAGGATCACAAAATCGGAATTGTTCCCCGACCGTCGTCAATCAAGCCATCGTTGCGGCAATTGAGGCGCAATTATGAGCGACGCCAACGCACACACAGAGCGTGAGGCAGAGCCATAGCCGAAGTGCGAGAGCAGTGAGCAGAGATACTGGGTACAAGAGTGCGCATTAGGCTAGGTTCAGACGTACTTCAACAACACGATACAATCGCTTTAATGGGGTCCGTTCAGGCGAGCACACAAAGAAACCAATTTGGTCAGCCAAGTTGATGATATGCCAGTGAAAAAGTATTAAAAATTTCGTTTTAAATCCTATTTCAATTCATTAGAAACGGAATTGAGTTAATCCTTGAATATGGGACGTGAATTTTCACGTTCGTGTTCTTAATGTTCTTGAACACACATAATTTATTACTTGTTATATACGAGTAATTCCTAATATAATCGATATTTTATATTTATAGATAATATTATAAAATATAAAATATACTTCTTACACTTGACTTATATATACTATATTGTATATATTTGCAAAAAGTTCACTTTTATCTTTAATTCCATCACCATGTATATGGTAACATAATAATAGTTCCCTGCTGTGTTGAAATCGCACGTCAAACTCCTGTCGAGCTCCTCAAACTAATTACAGCATCTGAACAGGTCTTAGACGCACACAAGTGTCAGAATTTATGGCGCTGCTGCTAGACAAAGCGGAATTGAAAATTAGTTTTGGTTCGCGGCTTGCGCAAAGACAACAAATCGCCTGGCCAAGGACTTTAATGACTTCCTAAGGCCCGGGAACAAGTTGCGGTGGCCTCAGTCGAGGCGTCTGCATTGTCTTGCATTATAAATCAAATGAAAATAAGTTTCGGCTTTTTGGGCAACGGACACACATACTCGCACATAAAACTGCGCAACAAAAGCCCGAGCGTTAAAGAGAAAAAAAACAACAAAAACGGGCTCATAAAGCAAGTTTTGATTTACGTAGCGAATTAATTTCGAGGGTTCGGCGTTGGCGGCGGCTGATATTAGAAATGGAGCCGCCGACAGGAAGCGAAATTGAGCACTAATTTGTATTTAAATAATTTCGAGTTTCGCACAAAGTTAATTAAGAAATGTGGCTGCCATGTTCCCACGCCAATACTCGTAGCAAGTTTTCGCATATGAGAAGAAATTAACTCTCGAAATACACACTTCCAGGAAAGCATGAATAGTTTTCTACATGTGGAGGGCTTGATATCGAAATGTACCGAAAATGTTTAATAAATTAAATAATATTGAAGAGAATATATTTTAATATATTTATATATAAATAAGTATATATATATATATATATATATATATATATATATATATATATATATATATATATATATATATACTTGTATATAGGGAGAGAACTATTTGCAGTGACTTGAGGTCCTTAATAAGTAGCAGTTTATTTAATTGTAACTAAGTATTTCTATTTGTTGGCATCCCATTGCAGGATCATCCCAGCCTGCGCGGAACTCCGCTAGCCATGCTCGCGGCTCAATGCAATAAGCTGTCGAACAAATCGCCGCCTCCGCTGGCCGATGCAGCCGTTGGTAAAGGCTTTCATCCGTGGAAGAAGAGTCCCACCTCGCCCACGGCGGCGGGCAGCAACAGCTCTGGTGGAGGTGGCGGTGGCGGTGGCAGCAGTGCTGGTCAGCACTCGCCCTGTGCCATCTCAGCCGCCAGCTCTAGCTCCTCCGGCAGCGGCAGCGCTTTGAGTGGCTCCGTTTCTGGCTCAGGAAGTGGCTCGGGCTCGGTCAGCTCTCGTAGCAGCCTCCCCTCCAGCATCGGCGGCAGCAGCAGCAGCATCAACACGATGGTGAACATCACCGCTAGGTAAGCATGGAGGCCGCCTCTCTAGCAGACAGGCGCTGTACAACTGTGAGTAATTTGTAGCATCTATCCTTACAGTCGTCCAATCGCCTCATCCTGCGCCGCCGTCAGCAGTCCAGCCAGCGCCTATGGCAGTGATTTATATTTCCCAAATACGAGCACCGCCACCGGCGGCATGGTAACGGATCAGCATCACATGCATCAGGGTCTGTTGGGCAAGGTGGAGGGCGCCACCTTTGGCTCCGTCTATTCGCGTCATCCGTACGATTGGCCCTTCAATGCTGCGGTCACCGCATCGGCTCACAAGGCGGCCGAGGCGGCCAGTGTGAACTCGGGCTGGTGGGATATGCATAGTGCAGCCGCCGCCGGCAGCTGGCTCGACATGGGCAGCGCTGCGGCCGCTGGCATGCACTCGACCATGGCGAACTATGCGAGCGCTGCGGCTGCGGGCACCGATTACAGCTCGGCTCTCTCTCATTCTCTATCCAATACAGCCCATCTGCTGGGATCGGGACAGCATCTGCTGCAGGATACGTACAAGAGTATGCTGCCAGGACAGGGTGTCGGGGGATTTTCGTTGCCGCACAGCTCACCATCGGCTGCGGCCACGGCCGCCTCGCCACAGGCCTCGACCCCATCGACTCCGTCGCCCAGGTCGCAGCGACGCTATGCGGGTCGCGCCACCTGCGACTGCCCGAATTGCCAGGAGGCGGAGCGTTTGGGGCCCGCCGGAGTGCATCTGCGCAAGAAGAACATCCATTCGTGCCACATACCCGGCTGTGGCAAGGTGTACGGCAAAACGTCGCACCTAAAGGCGCATCTGCGCTGGCACACCGGCGAGCGGCCATTCGTATGCAATTGGCTGTTTTGTGGCAAGCGCTTCACGCGCTCCGACGAGTTGCAGCGCCATTTGCGCACGCACACGGGCGAGAAGCGCTTCGCATGCCCCGTTTGCAACAAGCGTTTCATGCGCAGCGACCATCTGGCGAAGCATGTGAAGACGCACAACGGCACCGCTCCGAATGGCATTAAGAAGGGCTCCTCGGAGTCGTGCAGCGACTCTGAGGAGGCGGCCAATCAGTCGGGTGAGTCGAATGGGCTTGGCGGCGCGACCAGTGGCAATCCAAACGTGGGCGGTGGTGGTGGCGCCGGTGGCGGCGGGGGTGGCAGCAGCGGTAGCAGCCATCCCGGCACCCCGACCTCCCACCATGGCTCGGCCAGCACGCCCAGCAGCCTGCTGGGTGGCGGCCTGCACCTGGCCACGTCGCACCAGATGGTCGCCGCGGGCGGCTCGCCGGTGATGCTCCACCAGCAGCAGCAACAGCAGCAGCAAATGTTGCCCCAACATCAGCAGCAACATCAGCAGCAACAGCAGCAGCAGCAACAACAACAGCAACAACAACAACAGCAGCAGCAGCAGCAACAACAACAGCAGCAATCGCATCCGCACGCGCATCTGCATCATCACCACCATCACCATTTGGTGGGCGCATCGGCACCCAGCCCAGGGCTGGATCACCACAGTGCTCTGGTAGATATAAAGCCCCCGATGGTTTGAGGGTCGCTGGGACCCTTTCTGTTCACCAACTGAGCAGAAACGGGTTCCTGGCCGGAACTAGAATTTCTCTGTAATTTGGGTGGGTATATGTGAGCGATATCGATAGCGCCGATATCGCCGCATCGGGGATGGGCGTGGCAGCGCCTAGCTTCTAAGCTATGCGTAAATAATGTTTGTTTCATGTTTCTCTATGCATTCAACTTTTTTTTCAATATTTTTTTTTTTATATTTTAGTATATTTTAGTGATTATTTGATTGTATTTAGTACCAGTGAAGAGTTTTGCGACTAAAGCTAAGCGTACTTTTTGCACATACATTATTATTTAATTGAAAAGCAAACAATTTGAAATAGTATTAGAAATAAAAACAAAAACAAACGCTTTGTATTGTACATAGCAATGGAATCGTAATAAAGTTGTGCGAAATGCTTTTTAGAAATATGCGAGCATGCGAAGAGCATTTTCTATTTTTCATGGCTAACAGAAAAGTACATCAACTAAAAATCTATAAATATATATATGTATGTAGTATATATATATTATTAATAACAGCTTAATAAGCATTTGTAAATACATAAAAGTAACTTGAAATGTTCGTCTATGTGTGCGTGTCTTAGTCTAGTACTTCGATTATAAACATACCTACATATATATATATATATATATATATATATATATATATATATATATATATATATATATATATATATATATATATATATATATATATATATATATATATATATATATATATATATATATATATATATATATATATATGCATTACAAGCGATTCTCAAATGGATTAAATAAATTACATAAATAAATAAATAATAAACGAATTAACAATTATTGCTTATTGCTATGCAGCACATTTTAAATAAAACTAAGTAAACTTTTTTTTTTAACAAAAAGAAAAACCTTAATTTTTTTTAAACTAGCATGTAGTTGTGATTTAAAGTTTTTTGTGTATAGAGTAAGTAAAGTAAATGTTTAAATAAATATGCGCAGCGTTTATTACTCTACATATAAATATATAAATATATTAAATCTAAAAGGTAACTTAAATAAATGATTGAAAATCAAATTTCAATTAAAAGATAAGCCTAACAAACTATTTGTTGAACATTTATGCAATTTTAAAACACTACGAAAACATAAATAAAAACTAAAATAATAATAATAATAATATATTTCTAGTCGAATTATAAAAACGAAACAAAAGCAAAAGAAGAGTGTAAAAACCAAATTTGTAAAAATCTATCGCTTTGCTTTTAACAAACAAAACAAAAAAAAAAAATTAAAAATAGAACAGGCGGAAGGAGATAAAACAGAAAGAGCATACAAGTACGGTGTGAGTGGGGGATGCAAAATAAAATCACATGTTTTTTTTCATTCATAAATATGCAAGAAACAAAATGCTTAAATAATTTATCAATATAAAAACCAGGGCTTGGCGTGTACGGGCTTTGAATTGTTGGAGCCTTCGAAATTTCAGAGACTTCCTAGAAGTGTCGCTGTAGGCATGAGAATATTCATCTTATATTCTCTATAGTAGCTTCAGAGACTTCTTAAAAGTCCGCCTCTTACAGATCTGAACCTCAGTATTTAACTCCATCAGGCTCAATGCTTCTAAGAATTTCCTCTTCACATACTCTGCTTTCAGGCGCATTCGATTTAGAAGGGCGCTATGAAAAAAGAATCTTCAATTTTCTTTCTTCGCACTTACTTTACTTTATTTGATTTCTTCTTCTTATTTCTATAGCCATAAAAAGTTATATTACCGCTTCGAAAGATTATATCTAAGAAGTTATTTTCAGCTGTTTCCTTATATTTTCTCTTCCACATTTTATTGGCGCCTTATTTAATTTCTCTAGCTATACAAATGCGCTCGTCACGCTCTTTAGCTCCACACACATATGGGACTGGAGAGATAATTGCAAATGCTACGAAGTAACGCCAAACATAAATGTGTTGCTCCGGCACGCCTCAGCCGCTTTTGTAAAATAAAAACGATTTTATCTAAATATATATTTTTTCTGCTCTTACTAAATACACAAATAAAAAAAAAAACCAACATATTTTTAGACGCTAGTGCTTTATCATTGTGACTAAATGTTTTGTTGTTTTTTGATTTTAGCCTAAAATATCAATAAATATTCATAAACAAAAACAAAAAAAGGGGAAAGCCCCACAACGAATTCAAGAAAATAGTGCAGCTTGAATAGTTTTTAAAGATCTTTTTTTTTTTATAAATCAGAACTACATAGAAACGAAATCAGCAAATGTAAATTAATTATTTAAAAATAAATATTTAAATTTCATTAAAAATAAATGTATGAAGAAAACAAAAAAAAAAAAAAACAAACAAATATGGTCAAACAATTTATTTGGCTTGGGAAAATTTCAATTAATCGAGTGAGGCGGCAGCGCAAAAGGTTATGCGCCATTAGGAACGCTTAGTGCACCCCCTGTGGCAGCAGTCCACATTCGCCCATCACCCATCAGCCATCACCCACCCCCCTACCCCGCCCCCAGCGAGCAAAAGCCACCCACGTTCACTACTCAATGAAAATCAATTTGCCGACTGCAGCCGGATAACGTAAATTGTATCTGTGTATCTCTGTATCTGTGTATCTGTGTAGCTTTGTAACTGCCTGGGTGCGGGGGAGGGGGGCTGTAAGTGCAATTCATAAGCGTAAAATATGTTTTGACTCAACTCAACAACAACAACAACAACAAGATACAGAAGAAGAAGGACAGCCACCAGCAGGGGTGAATGTATACGCCACCATGTGGGGGATGCTGAGCGTCACTTCCGGCTGCGGGTGCTGCCGCTTGTTCCCGGGTGCTCTCCACTCCGGACTTTATACGGCGATTAGGGTGCGCTGACAGTTTATTTAACATTTGCCAGTTGGAATGCGTGTGGGCGGCTCAGCACCAGCACCAGCACCAGCGACAATTTGATTTTGGGCTTGGGGAACAGTTAACGACTTTAACGCAAAAAAGGTCAGAAGCGCAAACGTTTTAGGGATTTGCTTTGGTCACGACTTGAGGTTGAGTTACTGTTCCTCTCGTGGAGTCACTTTAGCCGGGAATTTGTTTTGGTGTCTCTATTTGTGTGCATGTGTGTGTATGTGTGTGTGATTCAAATTTTATTACCGTAGATTTGTTGCCGAGGGTCAGACAGACCGGCAGATTGAATTTGAAGTGTGTGCAGATTGTTTTTTCTTACTCCTCTCTGTGTCCCATTATTTGTGAGGATATTAAGCTGCGCAGTTTATGGTGGGTTTGTTGACTCAAAGCATTGTGGTGGGCAGCAGCAGGCAGTTGGTACTTCAGCAACAATGCGCTGGGTGGGCGAACATTTCTAGTCAATCTCATAAGAAAGCCATAATGTTGGAGTCGACATTTTCGAGGGAAACACAAGAACCGACAACGTAAGCGATTAGTGCAGGTATTTATTCATTTTAGTTTCTGCTTGAGTTTTATAGCAACAACTGGTTACTTCAGTCTTACAGACTCTGATCAATCAAAGGAAGCAATAATAATCATTTTGGAGTCAAAAGTCTGAGGACTGAGCGCCTAGATACCCTCTGAGAAGGGCAAACCTTGTGGGCGTCGCTGAGCAAATGTGTGGGAAAGTTTTGAATATTTAGCGCTTAATTGCAATGTTTAGTCATTTTAATTTTTAATTAAGGCCTCTAGTGACTGGTAACGTAAAGGATAATCAGAATTTCCTTTTCAGCAACATCGTTGCCTGAGAATAATTCCACAAATACGTCTGTGACTTTTCATTTATGCTAGGTTTGAACGCGGCGAAGGAGTATCAAAACTGATATAAAGTGATAGAAAGAGGAAGAATTTCGCGATGCTAGCATAAAATTTTCAGACAATGTAAGATATTCTAATGATAAGTATGAAGAAATCTAGTCCCCTCCAACAACCAGCTGCAACGATTTAATATGATATAGCATGAAGTATTTACTGCTTATGAATTGATACTAATGTTGATAGTAAAACTGTTTAGCCTCTATTGCAATTTCTATTTTAACTCAAGGCTCTTAGGCAGAAGAACCAACAGTTGAACGGTGAGTCTGCTTTGGTTCGGATTTTGATATTGAAGTTTAAAATAACTTGCTACTTACATAACCGATTTATGGCTAAACTACAGTCAACACTTTTGGACATGTTTTAATGGTTTTTGCAGCTCTCTAAAGGTAATCATTTGTCTGTTTTCTCCTAGCAAAGAAATGCACCTCTTAAATATTTAGTTGAGTTATGAAGTGAAAGTCACAAAGTCTTTAACAATCACGACCACAATTTTAAACAAACTGATGCGTCTTTCTGAATGGACATTCATTTATTTATGTTTGGCTTAAAGAATGTATCGCTTTAACAATTAATTGAATCATGAACAACTTGAAGTCCCAAACTCTTTAAAAATTGTAGAGAGATAGCCTCTCAGCTCGCACAGCTCCATTTCGTCTGGCAGGCCCAGCCATAGTAATCAAACAACACCCCAGCCACGCCACTATGTTAAAACTTGCGCCCAACTTGGTGTCAGATGAAGCGGCATCCAATGCGATGTCCTGCTGTGTGGCAGCAGAAAAAAAGAGACAGAAAAAAGAGAAAGGCGAAAAGGATGCCGGCGCATAGTCAAATTTCAAAGGAGCGTCCCAGCGTACAAGTTGTAAATTAAAATAATGAAAATACATTCGAGAGAGCAGAAGACAAATGCGACAAAGCAGGCAGCAAGGATACAGGCAACTGCGACATGCGACATGCGTTTGGCATCGGCTTGCAGTGTACAGACACCAACGACAACAACAACAACAATCCACAATACTCGCACTCACACCATCCGGACTGCTGGGTGTGTGGAAAGGACATGCACATGATAAATGGACGCGATGCGGCGCTGACAAAATCATTAGCACAAAATTTTAATTAAAATATTATTAGTGTTTTTTGGGCGCTTTTTGTCACACATTTGAGCGGCGTTAGGCGCCACA